TCTGTCACCGCTACTTGTTACTAATTGAAAACAACTTTCTAGGAATGTACTCCCTCATTCATTATCTAATCTACACATCTAATATCAAGCCAAGCACATTAGACAGGACCAAACTGGCTGGGTCGTTAATAATTTACAATATTTTAAGTTTTGCCTGGGCACAAGTTTAATTGCTCTTCATGAAATGCACCAATGGCAAAGTCACCTTTAACATTGATTTTGATAAGTACAGCAGAACACCCCTCAGGGGGGATGGAGAAAGGTTGCAAGAGGAAGCTGTTTATCGAATAGCCGACCAGGAGATCCTGGATACTCAAGCTTAGAATGTCAAACCATTTTGTGAAGTCAAGGTTTGCAAGCAAACATTAAATGTTAATGACATTAAAATTCTAGAATCCCCAATCCAGCAACTCTAGAAAAAAAAAATAGCTGAGTTGATGCAGGAAAAGAAAGAATCAAGATATTACAAAACAGGTCAGGTCCCAGCTCCTATCCAGGCTGTGGCATGTTGAAGTAGAGAGGTACCTAACTGGGCAAATTGGGTTTGCTGTTGCCTAGTCCAATGCTGCTGATTTTATATCCAACCCCTTCTGCAGAAGGATGCCTTCCCAGCACCCTGTGAGCACGGTCATGGCAATGCAGACCACAGGCTCTGAGGAGGTCAGCAAGTCCTGCTTTTCTCCTCCAAGCTAAGGAAGTTCTTCCCTACAGGTAGCTACTTCCATGAAGATAGTTTTGAATTGTGGAAAGTTGAACAACTCTCCTCCTCCAAAGCCATTAATTAATTTCTCTGCTGCAACTTCTAATCTTTATGAAATCAATGGAAGTGAAGACTTGAGCTTAAATTAGAAACCAGGCCACAGATAACATCACTGGCCATTTTGCATTATTAAAAAAGGTTAATATATTGAGGAATTGAATTTGGCAGTACTCCACTGACCAGAAAAGTAGCAAGCCACCTACCACGCTTGCCTTGTTTTTCCACCTTCTTGCTCACAGACCTCACAATACAGTAAAAGATTGCAGAAGCAGGGACTTCAATTTCAAGCCCAGAAGAAAACACGCATTCAGATGAGAACTAGCAGGTTGTAAACAGTTTAGCTAGCTGGCCCATGAGGAAAAAGCTGCTCTGTTTTAACTCCCTGTTAGGACAGATGTGCTACTAAACCTATGTTTTCTCTCAGACCGCAAGACAACATGACTGGGTCTTCTCAACAGTCATTCAACTTTTTGAAGAAATCCCCTGTACCATTTTACATGACTGACTTGTATGCAATACCTACTCAAGCTGAGTGAGACACAGCTGCTGCCTTCAAGAAAAGTCTGCAGAGAAGTTGTTTAAAACCTGGGTTATATGTGATCAAACCATTCAGAAAAAGTGCCTTCAACAGAAGAAGCAAGTAGTCATAGCAAGAAATACGGAAACTGTACTGGCAAACAGCAAAGTTTAAAGGTACTCAACAGCCCAACTGTCTATAAAACAAGAGATTGCTTCAGAAAGCACTGAAGTCAGAAGATTTTTCTCAAGCCAAAAGAAAAGGAAGAAAACATATTACCAATATGGTAATGCCTGCAAGCATCCCATTCAAGCAGGGGTTACTACTAATCCCATGCATGAATGAAACACTACCTAGTCAGGCTCTTGCTTTCAAGAAGCCTTTGCAGAAGAAACAAAGCATCTAGAAAATGGTTTCCCCTTTTTCTGTTCTACCCCTTAGTAAACAAATGGGACTCAAGCTTCATCCCCCTTTCCAGTCCAGGACAAGAGCTCTCCTGGGGCTGTGGCTCAGTCCACAAGAACAAGCCAAATATTCAGGAACCTAAGCATACAAGAGACAAGCTGCAGAACATCACAGGTCACAATTAGCTCATCACAGCACCCTGCAGAGCAATTCAAAAGTGTTCATTTTGGTTCAAGTGGTAGACTGACACTTCAAGAGACTCCTCACACAATAGCAACACAATCCCACGGGGAAGGTCAAAAAAAGCAGACAGATATCACGAAGAGTAGTAACACTGGGTAAAGGAATTGCATTCAGAACAGCAGTTCACTTCTGAAAGTGAAGTATTAGGAATTTTCCCTCTATCAACACCCTTGACTGTTGCCTAAAGACACCCCCAAACAACCATATAACCCTTTGACATCTCTGCAATAGAGGAGACAAAACACACTCCTTTACTCCACCAAATAACAGACTGAAGTCCAGGCAATCCGAGTTTCCAAAGGGCTGAATGATGACAGAAAAGCTCCCCATGTAGCATGCAAGCTGCTACGTTGTTTGACCAATATTCAGTATTTCACAGAGCCAAAGCAGTGAAGTCTCAAGCTTTGGATATACACTGAAAATCCAATCAGCTGGCTAACAAGGAACATTGTAGCATCACCTTTTAATAGTTCACCTTCACTAACAAGAACTTTCTGATTACTCTTTGCTTATCTAATCATTGTGAGGTCAGTTTTTAGATGCCGTGGTGTAAAAACAATTGAAAACAATGCTGGATTGTCTTGAGTTTCACTTCTACAAACCAGTACATTTTTACCCCCGATAGAGCAGCTTTCTTCTATTCTTATACTTTATAAAGCACTTTTTAAGGCTCCTTAATTTCAGTTCAGCTGAAATCATGTGGAACTGGCATGTCATTTGTCAATGTTATTTTTCAATCTACAGTAAACATCTTATGCACACAGAGCCCAAGATAGAAATAGTTTGTGAAGGTGCAAGCCAAGCAGACTGGATTTTCCCAGTACCATCTACCACAAGGCATTAATAACATTTGTAGCTTGTTGAAAGCCCAATAGTTCAGAAGAGAGCTGGACTTCCACAACTGCTCTATTAAAGACCTTCAAAGGAAGAAAAAATTTTCATGTGATTCGATAAACAGTGTATTTTGCAGACCCACTTCTAGGGCACACAGTTTTTCCTGCCCTGGTTTGTTTAGCACTGAACAAAGTTCTCATACTAGGCTAAATGGCAGGGAATGAAAGCAGAAATTCATCAGCAGGAGGCAGCGTGCATCTCTGCCCACAGATGTTGGCAAGAAGACAGCATCCAGTTAGAGCCCCATGCCACCCCTCATGAAAGCTACTACAGAGGCAACTCCCTGTGGCACCCAGGAATGGCAATGCTACATCTCAGACAGGTAACAGCTTTCAATACTGCTCTTTCAACTATTCCTTTATTGTATCCTTATTCCATTACTGTATCCTCCACCACTTCCAGGTGTGGCATAACACCAGAACATGCAAATGGACTAAAAGCAAAGCACTTGGAGGAGGCCTAGGCCAGACATTGAGGCAGACACAGCTTAGACGAGGCACAAATACAGTTTCAGCTCACTGTTAGATCTTTAATCTTAGTAAGGATACACCTAGCTGACCAACATCTGCAAGATTACACTTAAACAGTATTTCAGAACACAAACTGAACTGAATTAGGTTCTGTGATTCCTAGAGAGAAGCCAGCGTTCACCTCCAGCCAATACCTGAACCCAGCATTCCACTCCAGGAATATTGCTGTCATCCACCCTAGCTGGTCTCTGCCTGCCAAGAACAACGATGGTTCTGCAAGTTAATGTTTTAAAGCCACCAGTCCTAGAATGTTACAGAAGCCTAAAACTGGCCTGAATTTTGACACCTGTGTCCAACTTCTGGCTTCATCAGCTATTTCAGAAGGACCTTGCTCAAGGGGCCTGACATCTCCAGGACAGCAGAGAAGCTCAGTAGAGCAGGTCTTCTGCAGCGGCAGAGAAGTCTGTCACTTCCTTAACTATCTAACCACTGACCCAGAGATAATTCACATACTCTAGCCAAGCTCAGAGCGAGACGCTTGTGCTATTGCTCTCTGTAGGAGAGGACTCCAACAACTCTTCTCGCAGAGTTCAGGCAGATCCTGCAAGAAGCACTGCAAATACCAATGGTCTCCTTTGCAATGCAGCTGTAAGGGCAAGGCTGAAGTAACCACATCTGAGCCACTCAGATCCTGTTCCTGCTGCTGCCCATCACCTTTGACAGATGTCATGCTAGGACTTTATTCTCACTTCTAAGGCTTTTGCTTAAGCCCTGAAGTAGCAGGTATAAGGCAGGTCTGATCAGACTGACGACAAAGCCGTAAGCATTAGTCCTATCAGCTGATCAGATTATTGCACGGAAGTTACTTGGAAACTTAAGTCATTAGCAACTGTCTGCCTGGGGTTTAGAAAGAACACAATTTAACAGTGATTTTTTCCAACTCCTGACTGAGGCTGCCACTGCAGTTCTCAGAAAGCAGCTTTCAACAAGCAGCATTTTCCCAACTTGTGGTCTACAGAAAGGCAGCCGAAGCCACGCACCTTTTTACAGGCACATTTGCAGTCGTGTCTCACCTTACAGCTAGCACACAGGCAGTGCTATGTGGGAGGTGCGAGGGTCAGCTAAAAGCAGTTTAGCTCTCGCACCGCCTCCAATACATCAGCATTACGGCTGCGCTGCAGTTCAGGGAGTAAAATTTGTAGGAGACAAAGTTAGCTAAACACGATCAGTCACTTTCCCCAGTTTACTTTTTGCTGTTTCTTTGGGAAGTTTTAAGCTTTTTGAAGATATACCTCTTAGCATTTTAAAGATCACACCCCTTCCTGTAGAATGACAAATTCAGTAATTTTGGTGCTCAACCAGTATTTTTGCCCTCCAGATCCACAGCATGGAGACTCAGGGGTATAAAAAAGAAAAAGCAATGTCACACAAACTCACCTGCTTCCTGGACTGGGCCCTTGCAATCCTGAGTCTCCGAGCAGAATAAAAAATAAAGTAGCCCATGGTTGCTGCTGTGACAATGAAGAACGACACTGAGATGAAGAAGATGGAGTATTGATTCATCCAAGGACCATGCTTTTTCCCCACTTCAATAACCATAGTGACTTTCATGCCACTCTCAATCCGGTGTAAGATCTCCATGCCTTTCAGGTTGCCAATCATAATTGCAACGATGCTTTCAGCACCTGCAAAGGAGAAGAGGAATCCATGCTCAGTTCCCTGGTGTTATATAAAAGTCATTGTCTTAAAGTTCCAGCGCAAGTGCTAAAAAACAGACTGGCAAGTTTCTAACTAACATTTGCAGATTCAACGTGAGCTGATGGAATAAGTGTCATGTCCACGTGTTCATTCAGCTGAAAGACATGTCCAATTACCTATGAGCTGCGTAAGTGAACCATATTTAGAATTCATTCCTCGCCATAACTCTCCTCACTCCCACATAGGACATGTGTTGTCATGATTTTAGACTCAACACTTTAGCAATTTACATCTTAACATGCCTTTCAACTATATGAAGTTAAAAATAAATTCTATGCAGAGTGAGGTCACTAGAGATCATGGTATCGCCATGAGCTCAGAGATGCCAGGTACACAGCTGATGGCTTAGGGACCCCTCCTGTAATGGATCTGCCTCCCTCCCTGCTCTGCTGCTACTTCTTAACACCTCTTTTCTAAATTTGTCAGTATCGTGGAGTCCTTCCCGAGGCACTGAGCAATCAGAGCCATAGATCAACCTTTGCTTCTGCATTTCAGAAGCAACTGAGAAGTGATTGAGTGAGATTTGGTTGTGAACTATAAATGCTGTTGTGGGTTTCTAAAGCAAATTCAGAGGAAACAAATATTGAGGTGTGTTCAGCTTTTAGAACAGCTGGTGGCAGACAGCAAACTCCATCCAAATTTTAACAACAGACTTCATTTACTCAGTTGAACATCATGACAAGCCATCAAAGGAACCAAGGCCTTTATGGTAGGAAGACATTTCAAGCAACTCTGGTCACCAAGTACAGAACAAAACTGCTTTGATTTTGGTGACAGGCAAGTGCTTGGGGACACTTGATACTATTTGCAGGAACTTCAGGGAGTCCCAATGTAACAGAAAGGCTCTTAAGAGGAAAAAAAAAAAAAAAGGAGAAAGGGAGATGAGCAAGTTGTCACTGTCCTCTCTCTAAACTAAATAAAAGTGGATTTGAAGGCCAGCCGGTCAGGAGTGTCACTGCACTAAACCATCAGCTACACAACATTCGTAATAGATACTGCATGGGGAAGGAATACAGGCTATTACAGAAGTGCTATTTTTAGCTCACCTCCCAGCCAAACACTTTTTAATGGGGAGACCAGGGTTTTTTCTTCCATTAAGAGAAACCTTATCCAACTTCCAGCTATTTAAAAAAATACCCTAGAATTGGTGTTAAGCCACAAAGGTTCTCATTTGAGAAAGTGCTTATTAGTTCTCCAGCTTATTCACATAATGCCTTTGATCCAACATGGGTAAGTGTGATGTCTAGCAACTCTCCTCTGTGTGACTAAACTCATCTTTTATTCAGAAAGCTCCTTGTAATGAGAAGTACATCACAGAGAGAAGGGGGGAATAAAAAAAACAAAAATCAGCCAGATGGCAATTCCTGTTCTTTATGATGAACTAGGGCTTATATGTCAGTTATTAAATGAGCTGGAGTCAGGTGTTAGAAGCAAGTAAAGAATTAAGCATGGGTCAAGTCAGAAACTGAGACTTACTTTCATAAGCATAGAATGAAGCATGGAAGAACAGGCTGTGAGAACAAGAAAATAAAAAGCCTGACCCCCCATCCCCTCCCAAAAAAGTAAGCAGCTTGTTCTGCCTTCTTGCCCCCTTTGCTGCTGCACGTCTCACCAGTCAAATATAGCTTGTGGTTATGCGCAATGCAAGATGTAGCATAGTGATTCCTGTTAATGAAATGTCACCATCAGCCTGCAAAACCACTTCAGCTACTAAACCATCAGTTGTGAACAAGTTTTACCCTTAAAGAAAAAGAAAAAAAAAATCTTCCATTTAAGTTTCAGGCTAATCAGTTCACGAGAATGTCATTAGATGACCGTTTTAAGTCTTTTCTTGACATTTTCCTGCCCACCCCCAGAGATTTCTCTTGCAATTTCAGCTTTGCTTTAGATAAACACATGCGAGTGGGCAGCCGGTGGCTTTGACACTGGAGCATCAAGGGCAGAAGCAAGAGTGGTCGTTTCCATCAGCACCTGCACTACTTCCCCCCCCCCTTGGAGGGAGCCCCCCTAATATAATTCGGCATCCACCTTCAATATTTTGTAATGCAAACTCTTCAGACCAACAATTAATTTCTAAAGGCAATTACAAGTGAGCTAACCTGACATCACATGAAGTTAACCAAATGCCAACAACAGGGGAAAGGAATCCAGAAACTGCACCTCATTTCTGGCCATCGGTAGCACAGGAGTTTAGTCACTTCAGAGTCTCCTTTCAGACAGGGACTAAGCACAACTCCAGCACCATCACACAGGGCCTATTATGGGGGCATCACCCAACCAAGGCCTCCTTCACCCACCAAGAAGAGATTCAATAATACCCTACTAGCCTGAAGCTAAGATAGAAGCCCAGAATCCATGTTTAGGACTACTGCTGTGCTTCTAGAATAAAATCAGCTAGGATCACCCCCACCCGATGCTTCCTGAGCTGCTGGGTGGGTCCCACCATGGCAGGTACTGAAACACATTACTGTGGCCTGGAGACCACCAACCTACACAGAGGCTCCTGACAGTGCTTGGGCATCTTAATGGAAATGAGCAATTTGAGTGGTCACCTGCAGTGGTGCCTCAAGCACAGCAGTGCCCTGAACTCCCAGCTTCCCCCCCAGACCCCAGCAAAGCAAGAGGAGAGTCAATTAGTTGTGCATGGCAAAAACCTCACAGAAATCCAAGTTCCTTGCCTAGGTGTCAGCTTTTGAGATTCAGGTCAAGCTTTCTGCAACAGTTTTTAAGGGACATTAGAAGGTGAGATTAAGCTGCTGCCTGTTTAGCTAATAACGGGCTCAGTGCTAAACAGAATCAGGACCTGTTTAACTAAACATTTCTCAGCCTCTCTCCTTTCTCATCTCCTGTGAAATTGGAGAGGGAAAGTCATCCAAGTCTTTAGACAAATACAATCTGCCTCTGTAGATGTGGAGTTTTGCAGAAGGTACCTCCCAAATCATAAGGCAGCATGCTGGTCGAAGTCTGAAGGATGCTGTTTCACAGAGAGGGGTTGCCACAGATGAAGCACAAGAACTTAAATGGTTTGTTGGGGCAGAGGAAGGGCTGGGACATGAGCACATTTGGCACACAAGGAGACTGCATGACTGGGATCAAAGTTTTACCTTCCTGTATCAGGTTTACTTAGATGCAGAGTGGAGTTGCATCTATTTATACCAATATAAATACCTACGTTAAACTCTTACCCTGCAAAGACTTCACTTGTTCTGCTGTTACACTTCTGTCTGCTCCCTGTAAACATGAAGTTATAGGTTTGGCAACTCAGTAGAGAAATGCAGCATGCAAGAGGTGCATGAAACTGGGAGCACTAACTTTTGCTCAGTAAACACCTGTTTTTTCACATTCATTATTGTAATCCAGTGCTATGGATAAGTCTACTTTGAACCAAGCAAATGGTAGGTCCTGGAAAACAGTCACCCCGCAATATTTATCAGACTGCAATGTAACCTAATCAATGCCTTAATAGCAGTCATTCTTAGCTAAAAAAAAAAAAAAAATCACAATCTGTTCATGCATTAAAGCACATCAAGGCAAGGATTAGATCTTGGGGCCATCCAAATCCCCTACTTCAAAACAAGGTATGGCAAAGCACTGCTTACCTGATTCAGATTAAGTATACACAATGTACAGGATAACCAGAATGTTTGCTCTTTGAGCCGCTGCATATGACTAAGTCCTGGACAAGTAGGCCCCTATGCGCCATTGCTAACTGTGGTGGCACTCCATGGCACACCCCAAGGCAACACCTGCATTGCAGATCCGTGCTAGAGCATGGCATTGATGCCTCCATGGTCTCCATCTTGCACAGCTATCATCAGAACCACTCTCCCCACAGCAGCAGCTCAGAAAGGCTGTCACGGTGTGTTCTGGGTGAACAAAGCTGCAAGCTAATTCCCACAAGAGGTGGGATTTTCAGACTTGCCTCATTTTTTCCCCTTCCTCCCCCATGCAAGTGAAGGAATGAGAAGCCCTAGCACCTCAGAAGAACTACCTCCTTCCCAGGCATATTACAAGTACAGTTACAACTTCTACAAACACAAGTAGGTTTCTCTAGGTGTCACAATGATTTTTTTTTTTTTTTTTAAATGAAAAGGGAACTGGTTTTCCACAGATACTATTAATATCCAGTAATGAGCATTCCTTTCTCACTTCTCTGTTGGGACCTGTTGAAGTTGTCCACCCTGTCAGGTAGTTATAGTACAGCTTTCCAGGTGGTCTAGAGTTCACAAAAAAAAATCAAGGAGATTCATGCACTGGGTTTTGCAGTAATTAGAGACTACACAACTGAAGGCTTTCTGCCCAGCCCCCAAAACTCATTACTGTTAAAGCCCTTCTGCAATACTGAAGCAGAACATAAAACTTTAGCAGAGAGCTACACTAGCAATCCAGATGGAATAAACACAGCAGAGCAAGACTTAAAAGCCCAGAGACTGCAGCCACAGCACATGGACTTCCAGGGAAGTCCTGCCCACAAGAGACCCTGCAGTGACAACACTGGGCTTGCCCATGGTCTTGACTTAAGTGAAGGCTTAAGTGCTACTGGGGAGCACAGGAGGGCCCCATCAGCCCTCCAAGAGCACAGCTGCGAGCTATACGTGTAAGCATAACAAGCAGATTTCCTCACCTGGGATGAAAGTTGAGTGCTACCTTAACCATAGTTAAAATTTATCCCCAATGTTCTGCAGCTCCAGCCTTGCAGTCGAGCCACTCACTGCATGAGAACATCAGAACAAGCACAGGGCACTGCCTAAGCTTCACCCACTGCTGCCTTCACAGCAGCCATCCCTCCTGAGACAGCTTCGGTAAGCAAATCTTCCCCCGAGGGGAGCAGGGTGTTACTACAGCAGTGAGTTCTCCAGGGTAAAATCCTGCCTCCTGGACGTTCCAGCACAGGCTCCTACAAGTTGAAACCACTCCACGCGCGGCA